CTAGCGTAAATGGTGTCGGCGACGTTCTCCTACAGCGTGACACAGCTGGTCGAGAGAGAGAGAGAGAGAGTCGTCGCCCATAGGGAAGCCGTCCTCAAACGAATGAAAACTGTATGATTACAGATCAGGAATGGATGACTGTAGTTTGCGCCATATGAAAATTCCGCCCATACCTTTGAAAACGCCATTTTATAGTCATTACGGATGACTCCGCGTTATCTGGTTATGATCACTAAATAGTTTAGCTGCGTGTCTCGACCGCACGGTGCTCCGGCTGCAAGGGTACACATGGACGTTTCTTTTTTTTTTAACGAAATCTGGGAAAAAACACAAAGATGACCATGACCTCTCTTGTCGCCCTCTCCAACTACCATCTCTTCAGAGAAAGAATCTTGATTATTCGCCCCATGACAATAAGGCTACGAATCTTCTGACATTATCAGAATTAGCGGTAGCTGGCCGTCTGTCTTCCAATATCTGTACTCATTTGGCCTTCTATCACAGCATGATTCATGTTGCCATCGCGTTCATCAACGCTTCTGCGTAAAGTCTACACCACGTAACGGCTGGTTGTACCTTCAACTAAGGCAATTCGAGATTGAAAATAACGTGCTGCACCGATACGTTCACAATGATGACAGACACCGGTGAGCTCCTGATCTCGCACGTTAGCTTGAACCGTATATCCCCCTGGGGCCTTTCATGAAGACCCCATCTACTGACCACATGGGATTCAACAGAAAATATAGCCGCCTGAAGAGTCACTAATTCGGGGCTGGTGTCACCGCCTCTGTTGCAAAGTACTGCTCTTCTAGCGCATTATGCCACCAGCGCCAGTGGCTGACTTCACCTTCTGCTGGCTTGTTGAACCGATCTCATGTCTCGAAGAACTTTTTGTCATTGTTGAAAAAGACCTAGTCGGACCTCATCTCAACATTCTGCATGACAGTCAAGTGTTGTACTGCAGAGCAATGTGAGCAATGCGAGTGCTTCATAATGTTTTGGAAACACGCCCTATACGAGCGACATGTCATGACAGCGCCCGTTCGAGTGGCAGTGTCGGGCATCCACTCTTATAGACACTTTTCTCGTGGTCGCCGCTATGTTACTTAGCATGCGGCGCTTCCCCTAATTTTTCATTCCACATGTTTGTGCAAAAGTGCAAACACTCATCTTTACAACAGCACGAGCACTTCGGCACTTTTGCGCACACCGGCACGCACCATTTGAACAGCTTATACGCACAAGAAACGAGAGAAGTGCAGGTTGGCAGACCATGACTCCTTCTCGCCGACAAATAGTGGTCTCAATCATCGTAACAAACATTAAATGTCTATCACTCCTCAAGCTGCAGTCAAACGTTGCGCGAGTACGCTTACAACCACCACGTATGGTATGCACACCATCGCCCTGCACCATGCACATAGTTCTGAAAAGAGAAGCTTTGCGCTCATGCCTTGGCCTGCCTAAGACAGTTGCTAACATTGTGTTGCATCTCGAATCGAGAGTCCCTCCTCTTTCCTGTAGAATTCGCCTTCTGACTGTTCAGACACTATTAGGAATTTATGAATCACCATTTCGACATTCAGAAACAGCCTTTATTTCCACCCCGGAATCATTTTTCGGTGCTAGATGGCCGCGATTTTACACCCCTGAAATTATATTTGTACAAAATTTACTGGAGCCTCTAAACGTACGTATATGCTTTGTGAAAATTCAATTTGACAATATTTTTTTCCAGTAACGCCAATATATTTCCCCATAATGTTTTGGATGATTTACTACAAGATAACTGCAACAGTGTTACAACAAACGTTATTTTTGCTACAGGTGCGTCGCAATGTGGCGATAAGTCAGGAGTTGGTATTTTCAGCCCGATTTTAGATTGGTTTTATTTCCTTCGACTACCCACTTTCATACCCGTTTTCGTGGCTGAATTTCTAGCAGTATATTGCTCGCCTCACGCAAGTTAGATACAGCAATTACAACAGCTGTCATCTTTATCACTCTGTGCGGCACTTTCTGTTGGTGCTGATAATCAAGTAGCAAAGGCGTTCTCTGCACTACTGCCTGCGCATTTGAGAAAAGCCCGATTAGTTTGGGTGCCTCGACATAAAGGCTTATTTCTAAATTAAACAGCCGATTCCTTAGCTAAGCCGTCAACTAGCGGACCGATACTACCGCACTCTTCATCATCCGCTTATGAGACTGTTGCTCGATTCCACAGACGTACGCTTATGGAAGTCTTCAGAGGTACAGCACTAAAAAACTCTAACGAATATCGCCGTTTATTATATCCCTGGCGAAGAGACGTTTGCCGCACTCGTAAGCAAGAAGGAGCTATTACAAGGCTGCGTTGCCGGGTACCAAATCTAAATTTCTCTAAACACAGGTCTCCTCAGGCACCTTCACCACTGTGGGCGTTTTGTTATGAACTTGAAACAATAGATCATTTCTTTTTGACCTGCAGGCGGTTTAACACATTACGAAAAACTCTTTAATAAATACCTTCCCGTGGTATTGGTATGGATTTATCTGTGCTTGTCATTTTGTCTTTCGGAGCTTCCATTTCCGGGTTCTCTAATGCGACAGTATGCGTGGCCGTCCAGGACTATGTTGATGAAACTAATAGGTTGACTAATTAATCTGTTTCGTTATCCTAACCTTTCTACAAAATCATATACGTATTAAAATCAGAATATTGCTCTATTTTAAGAACAAATTCATTTATTTATTTAAATATTTATATGCATAAGATCAAGCACACCAATTTCTAGGTCATCGGTAATCTTTCCATTATATATCCATTATTCCAATTCTGCGCAATAATTTTTACAACCACTCAATTCTTGGCCAATCCCCCATAGAGCGTAGGCACTACGGACAATAGGTGAACAAGAACAAGAACATTGTGGGGCAGAAACTGACCACTATTCTATAACATGAGTGAGCGCGTGTTTGGCGTTAGATCATGAGCTACCTTTTACAATCCAGTGTATTTCGCATGCCTGGTAAACACGCGATATGCGTTTAACCACAAAATAAACATGAATACACCGAACCCCTCGGTAACGCTGTACGCTCAAAGCGAAAAATTCCGCATGGTTTACTATTCATTGTATGTTCCACAAGAAATGGATTTTCGCAGTGTGTGAAATCTGCAATACTTGTTTTTTCATTTCACGTGATAGCGTTTATGGACACCGGTGAAGTTGACGAACAACTGCGCCATAGAAATACAATGTTGTTTTCATTCTATTGACCTTATTCATTTATTTGTTTTTATTTACTTAATTATTTATTTGATTCGCAAGGACACATAAGAAAGAGTGAGAGAGAAAGCTGGCAACTGCCACCTGGAGGGGCACAACGCCTGCCCACTCTTTCGGGAGGAGGGAACTCTTCCTTCAACAAATCAGTAATTGACACGCTATCTAAAGTTGCCGTCCTTCGAAGGCCCATGGTTAGGAAACGTTATCATAGTTTTCCTCAATGTGGCCTCGTAACTACGTCGGGCAGCATTGAGCGCTGATGATGAAGTCCTTCACGTGACACTAAGGCGCTTTCTCGGGAAGTTGATATCAGTAGGCTGATTTTACCTGTGATTGCAGCGTTAGAAGTTTAGCAATACGCCTTGGTTATTTATTTTTTTCTTGCTACTCAGCTATTTTGTAGCGCCTACCTGGTATTCTGGCATGGCAGCACGAACAGTAATCAGCTGCCAAAACGGCCCATATCTTCCAATCACATGGATGGTGACTGAATTCTCGCCTCAACAATTGATAGTTTCATGGACATGGCATGGAGAAACGCATTTTGTTAGGGCCCATGTATACTTAAGGGGCATTGTTTGGTGTCCTTTTTTCTCACGAAAAAACGACATTACTTCTGTAAAGATATAAGGACAGTAAGTGATGGTATGACTGCACTGTACCTCAGAATTTACGTGCCACATATTGTTCTCGGAAAATAATGGTATACAATTCCCGTTCTACATCAATTGCTCTTTTTTATTTTCTGGTAACCGAATTACGGGTCGTTCAACATGGAAAATATTTCGTTTTGAATAAACTCAGGTGAATAGTAAAGAAAGTAACTTGATTACTCAGGTATACCTCACTAGAACAGCACTGACAAGCAATGAAGTAGCAACATAATTTTTTTACAAGTTTCGTGATGATCAGTGAACAAAACTTTGCGTACATGCGATATCTTACAACAATGTTGTAAACTTCAAGATTGGAAGAAGTCATCCTTGTATACAGCATAAATGATGAAATCAGCACCAGTTTCGATATATCCAGCTTTAAAGCGTCCAGCGAAATGCACGGTGCTCCAGATAATTGTTCCATAGAACTATGCGACATGCACTTTACAGTTTTCAACAAAGTAGCCACATTCTGACTCAGTGAGCAGCCCGATTTCTTACTGGTTGTATATTTCATCATCTTTTCGCGGGCCTCAATATTAGTGGGCCAAAAAAAATAGTACATTACTTTGGTTTAGTGTTTTCTGATATCCCAGAGGTTGCCACTTACTGTGTAACTTCGATCTTACATAGCTTATGGAAATAATTGTCTGTACAGCGATTGAGAACTGCACATATGACGGTCCCTTATGTCTTAAGACATTAGTTTTACAAAATAAACCTTTAGAGTTCGGTTCAAAAATACGTGGTGTTTGACTTCACAGAATAGTACGTTGTACCTCTGTAGCATACACTAAGCGATTGCACACGTTACCCTGCATTATTCGAGTGAAACTAGACTCTTACGCATTTGCATGGTATAGGCAAGACGTAATGGCATGCACACATGCTTAGACAGAGGCAAATATAAGGTTGGCGCTATTTATATCTCAACATTAGGGATCATCTGGTTAATACTCTATTTTTTATGTTCTTGTTCGAAGAGGAGATCGGGCTGCATGCGGCTGCATATATATGCGATGCGCTATGTAGTTAGTGGAAGCACACAGGGCAAGGAGTGACTGCTACTTACCCCGTTTTTACAAATGCGCCGAGGGATTTCACCAAGTTCGTGCTGAACGTAAGCTCAGCGGAAGTGACGTTGTAGTTTCTGAACCAATCCGGCAAGTAATTCCATCGCTGTGAGCGTAAGTTCGCCTTAAATGTCGCCACAGAACCTAGCATGTAAGGCAAGTCGTCAGTGTGCACCACGCCCATCCACTCGTCCCAGACGCTAAGTGGCATGCGTTGACTATAAACATAGCGATAGATGGAGTGTCCTCGCTTGGCCAGCTGCTCCCCCCATAAGTTCGTGCTGCACACGAACACGGGATCTCCGAATGAGTGGCTGAGCGTGCGTAGTACTTCGTCAACGCTGAGGTCATTTGTAGAATTGTCAAATAAAGAAGAGATGTATTGACGCGCCGTTGAGAGGGGAATAGAAAAGGATGTGCTCAACACTATGGCCGTAGCCCCTTCGTAGTAGTCGTACAGAGCTGGTTCCAAGTTCCGAAGCCTTTCAATGGGATGATAGAAGAACACGGTGCCTTCGTCGAGCGTAGTGCCCATAAGCATCTCTTCTCCATTTATGCAGTCAACATTGTCGAAATCAATCGGATACTCCGGCACGAACACATCTCCTGATATTGGAAAGAACATGCTCGTCAGTTGGCCCACTGTTCCAAGCCTGTGTATCACTTCTCGGGGGTTTACTTTCCGCATGCATTCCAACATCGCCGACGTGTTGCTCGCACGATCGGTGCAATTCAGTTGTCCCGCAAAGTTGGTGAAAAAGCTCATTTGGTTGCGACGCTGAAATGTTATCAGAGATAACGCTGTGCCGCTTTCGAAGATGCACCTCTTGAAGAGCCCTTTGCTGAGTGGAGACAAGACGTGGACCCCGGCGGACATTGATCCCGAACTCTGGCCGTACAGTGTAACGAGCAATGGGTCACCGCCAAAAGCAGAAATGCTCCGTCGCACCCACTGCATAGCGAGCAGTTGGTCCCAAAAAGCCAGGTTGCCAGGCGCATCGGGTGACCAGTCGCTGAGAAATCCGAACACGTTCATACGATAATTGAAGTTCACAAAAACAACTTCGTTTACTGACGCGAATGCAAGGCCATCGTTGTAGAAGGCAGACGCGTCGCCCCATTGGAAGGCGCCGCCGTAGATGAACAGTACGACAGGCAGCAGCGGAGCCTGATAGTCGCAGGCGTTTTCAGTTACGCAGCTCGGTCTCCAAACGTTTATGTGCAAACAGTCCTCTGACGAGGAAGTGGTGTAGTTGAGCAGAACTTCGCGGTTCAGACGATGGTTGGTTTGCATACATGCCGGCTTAAACTGACTGGCATCTCGCACGTTCTTCCAAGGCTTCGCGGGCAATGGCTTTCGAAATCTGAGTTCACCTACCGGAGGCTGAGCAAAGGGAATTCCGAAGAAACCGTCCACGTGTTTTCCTTGGTGAGACAAACGTACGCCTTCGACTGGCCCGTAAGACGTGCGGACCACTGGCCGCTCGGCACCACATAACAATGAAGTCAATGCTGCGACTGTGACTGTTCGCCAGTGAGACATGTCTACGTCTGTGCTTACAACCGTCGCTGTCTAGACGGAAGGATAAGCCCACCAGCCCCAAGGCGTCCGCACTGACGTCCAACAAACACGGCAAACACGTCTGCTATAGGGGAAATAAGATAGCTTTGGAAGTTTCCTTGTGGTGGCACAGCTCTTACACTACTGTTTGTTTTCTTACTTTCTCGACAGTGAGTATGGAACTGCACTTCACCAACGCATGCGTGAATTTATTACCTTTATTTGATATATTACAAACGGCGTCATCAATATTTCCACTGTTCTCATGCGTCATGTCTTGTTTGATAGTAAAAAGTATCAGGAATTTTTTTTGTGGATTTGATCTATTGTAAACACAAGCAGTTCTGTGGCTCTGTGGTAGATTTATTGGAAACGCGGCACATGGCATGTTATTCAGTATGTGCTCTTTCAGCCTTCCCAACTGTCCGTAAATCTTCAATAGCTGTCCTCAGTGGATCCTATACAATATTTCTGCTTCTTCGATTCACCTGTATTTTCAAGAGCACCGCGATTTGTACTAATAGGCACGGCCATTTTCTTTGGCAATAAACCACACACCGAAATCTTTTGGGATTTAAATGAGGACTATGTACTTGATGTTCTTTAGCTGGTAAAAAGTGCGGCATATGAGGGCTCTTCAAATTTTCGGTCGAGGCACCAACTGTCTGCGAAGTGCTTAACTTCCTAAACGCACTTCAGCTCGTACCAGACTTGCTACGAAGTTCCAGAGTGCCTTCTTAGCATAAGTCAATACCGACCTCGGAATCTTTTTGCACAAGAAGAGGAATCATGCTGCACGTGGTAGTTATTGAACACCAAACCATAACAAATGCCAGATTAAAGTTTTGCAGAATTGTTGAATGGGTTGCCTTCACGTCGGGGCAAGCACATTATACTTCAGAGTGTTGTAACTGGCCTCTCTTTTGAGCATTTTCTTATCACGAATCACATTTGTCGTTTGTGTGTGTGTGTGTGTGTGTGTGTGTGTGTGTGTGTGCGTGCGTGCGTGCGTGTGTGTGTGTGTGTGTGTGTGTGTGTGTGTGTGTGTGTGTGTGTGTGTGTGTGTGTGTGTGTGTGTGTGTGTGTGTGTGTGTGTGTGTGTGTGTGTGTGTGTGTGTGTGTGTGTGTGTGTGTGTGTTTACAAGCGTGCGAGCGTTTTGCAGACGTTTCCGATGAAGTAATTCCAGGGCAGTTGTATCGCTAACATTCTGGTCCTTTAATCGACTTTCGTCATACAATTACAGCAGCAACGAAAAAATTGTATGAAGTTGATAATGACACCAATTAAATAGGCCCAATATATATAAATTATAAATGAACATCGGGATGGTGTCTTCGAGCCATCCTAAGTTGGTGGGTAATTCGTCAAAACGGTAAGAAGCATCATTCATGAATGTAAGTTGTTTACGTCCACGGCTTCCGACCACCTGAAAATAATGCCTCCGCCAATTTGCCGGAATAACATCCTTGCTTTACGTTCACTTCATTCACGCATCTCGCCCCATGCGGAGTGTGCTAATGACGACGCTCAAGGTTCGGGCCTTGGTACACATATTATGCGCGCCAGTGGCGGGCCAACCTTGAGGTCTGATATCGGCGCGCCGTCCTTCGCGCAGCGCACGTTTGCGAGGTCGCCGCAGCCTTCCTTGAAAACGGACGCTCTTCCACTCCAGGAAACACTCGGGTAGCCTCAATGAGAGAGAAACAATGTTATACAATGTTACGTAGACATTCCCAAGGACCGATCTGAAAGATGTCATTGGCTACACACTGCCCCCTCTCCGCCAATTCGTCATGTTATTCATCTGTCCTCGGTTTCGCTGCATAGAATAAGCGATAAATAAACTTTTAGTGGACTAGTTACCATCGACAGGTATGCGAGTGAACCTAGACATCATCTCTCGTTACCTTTACCATGCAGCGTTTTCACCTCTTGTATTGTTCATTTTCAATCAATCAATCAATGAAATAATCAATCAATCATTCAGTAATTATATCTATCTATCTATCCATCTATCTACCTATCTATCCATCTATCTATCTATCTCTCCATCTATCTACCTATCTATCCATCTATCTATCTATCTCTCTATCTACCTTTCTATCTATCTATCTATCTATCTATCTATCTATCTATCTACCAATCTATCTATCTATCTATCTATCTATCTATCTATCAATTGTCGCCTGCGTGTAATGGTTTGGCAGCAAGTGTGGCTCTCACCCTGAAAAAGAAAAGAAGATTGCGGGCGTAATCTTCGCTCGAGATCCAAACATATTTTTTTTTCCAACAAGTAACGCTAATTTAGACCTTCAGATAGAATTGGAGAATATTTACCCCTCTGACGCGAAGCAAATGTCATTTCAATATGTATATGATCGTTTTCAAGATTACCTGGCACACGTGAACATCAACAACATAATTGCGACTGATGCATCCGTATCAAATGAAACAGGCTGGGGCAGGTATCTTCTCGCGTTCCCTTGACTGGTCCTTTTCAGTTAGACTTCCAGATTACACACCAATATTCGTAGCAGAAGTATTTGCTATTGTACTGGCACTACGGAAACTTCCTTTGGGCGAATCAGAAGCAGTCGTAATTACAGATGCTTTTTCAGTATGTGCTGCTCTCTCTTCTGGAGCCAACTCAAAACTTATGCAAATGTTTCGACAACTCATACCAACAAACTTGCAAAAACTTCAGCTGTTATAGGTACCAGGTCATCGTGGCATATATCTCAATGAAATGTCGGATGCACTAGCCACAGTATCTCTTAGCGGTTCCTTTATCCCGATTTTGCCTGATACGGCTTACGCGACAGCAATAAGGTTTAGAAACCTTTGTTTGCATGAAATCAACACCTACCCACTGGATAAATTTCGCGATTTCGCACATCTAAGATGCTGTTGGAATAGACAGTGGTGCACAACACGGCAATTGGAAGATACTTATACTAGATTGTGTTGTAGAATTCCACAACTATATTATTATTTTCATAAAGTTGGTCTAAATGCGTCACCTTTATGTCAGGTTTGCGAAGAAATGGAAATGATGGATCATTTTTTTCTTTATTCTGTCGCCGAAATTCTTATCAGCGGAAAAGATACCTGGTAGCTAGACTTGAAAGTTTAGGATTAGAATATAAATGTGGCAATAGTTGTATCGTTTGGCAGCATTAAATTTGGTTACAGGTTATAGCCACAGGGACGTCTGCTCTGCGGTATTTTACTAAATAATTGAAACAAAGTGATTGCCGTGTTATATAAATATAAATATATATATATATATATATATATATATATATATATTTATATTTATATATATATATATATATATATATATATATATATATATATATATATATATATATATGTATGAGATCTAACAGACAGTAATGCAAAGGAATGTACAGGAGAAGTTATTAGAACCAATAGAATGTAAATAAGAAGAAAGAAGAAAGAAAAGTGGATGAAAAAACTACCAGCCGTGAGCAGGAATCCAACCTACGACCTTCGAAGCATCGAACGTGTTATTCGAAGGTAATAAGTAGCATGCTCGCAAAGAAGCTGAAGAAAGTGCTCACTCATTGGACCGGACCGCAGATACGCACCGCCGGAGGGCATTTAGTCAGCCCCATAGGAATGTGCACAGCGAGAGTGGGAATAAGAGGCCATGTGTACGTCTGCAGTTTTATCGTTCTCCCCGAATGTTCCCGTGAGGCAATTCTGGGCATGGACTTCCTGCAAGCGAACAGTGCCATCATCGACTTGCAGAAATCCCAAGTTTCTTTCTCTACAGAGAACGCTGTTGCCGTGTGTCATGCGGAGCAACCAATTGTTTCGTTTCTTCGTATTGTGAATGAAGGTGTGACAGTGCCGCCACGTAGCAGCGTGACAGTTTCTGTGAAAAGCGACGTTTTTCGTGAATATGCCGGACTAGCTGATGGAAATATCGAACTGCTACTCACAAAGGGGATACGCGTGGCGAGAGGTCTAGTGAACCTGCGGAACGAATATACTGATGTGCTATTCACTAACTTTACCAACGAGGTACAGCATGTGGCAAAGGGAGCAGCCATAGCATCACTTCATGACTACGTACAAGTCTCAGATGTTTGCACCATAGGAAAAGTACCCACAACGCCCTCAACAGTGGACAGTGTCCTCGAGAAAATCGATATTGACCGAGAGCTTTCATCTCTGCAGAAAGACCAGATTGTGGAGTTGATCAAGGAATTCGCAGAGTGTTTTTCCTCTTCATCGAAAGTCGGACGTACACCTGTAGCGAAGCACCGCATTGTAATCGAAGGGCATGTTAGACCAGTATGTCAGCATCCATACCGAGTAGCCCCGAAAGAAAGGGAGGTGATAAAGAAGCAAGTACAGGAGATGCTCGACGACGATGTCATACAGCCCTCCAAAAGCCCATGGGCATCGCCGGTAGTATTGGTGAAGAAGAAGGACAACACCAAGCGGTTCTGTGTTGATTACAGAAAACTCAACCTCGTCACGAAGCGAGACATGTACCCACTCCCGCGAGTCAACGATACGTTGGATAAACTGCGCAATGCTCACTTATTTTCATCGTTGGATCTAAAGAGCGGGTACTGGCAAATAGAAGTCGACGAACGAGATCGGGAAAAGACGGCGTTTGTGACACCCGACGGACTCTACGAGTTCAAAGTACTCCCATTTGGTTTGTGTTCTGCTCCCGCTACCATCCAGAGGATGATGGAAACTGTGCTCTCTGGCCTCAAATAGCAGTCATGTCTTGTCTATCTTGATGACGCAATATTTTTTTCCACTACGTTCGAGCAGCACGTACAGAGATTGCGAACGGTACTGGACGCTATTCATATGGCTGCACTTACGATCAAACCCGAAAAGTGCCACTTTGGATTCCCGGAGCTTCGGTTCCTCGGGCACATTGTCAGTTCTCACAGTGTCCGCCCAGATCCGGATAAAATCACTGCGGTTGAAAATTTCCCAAGGCCAAGAGACAAGAAAGCTATGCGACGTTTCCTGGGGCTTTGTGCCTACTATAGGCGCTTCGTGAAAAACTT